GTCCAGAAGACCTATACAATTTTTTTTTTCTTTTTGATTTTTTACCTGGATTACTGAGATGCATCAGGACATCCATAATGCAAAACCACCGACAACWGCATATATGTCACATAAGACCTCAAAGACACACAGAAAGGCCACAAATAAATAAAATGCAATCCATATGCGACCGAAATATACGTACAGTATAAAGATAAATTCAACGTGGTATAAAATGGGTAAAATGAGGCATAAAACAAATCACACGAGCGAAAAAAAAAGATGCAAATCCATTGACAGAGACTGAAAACAGTTAATGTTATGCTCCTCTGCATTAATGGCATTAGCATTGCGTAAAYGTTAGGGTGATGGATGTGCTTCACTGTCCAAAATGTCTAAAAGGAATGTTAGATGATGCTTGATCGGAGCTTCCTTGCCTAGTTTTTTAACCCACAAGCACAACCGCTGCGTACACATGTTTATACATCACTAAGCAAAACCAGCTTGGCTCRACAGATTTATCTTCCAGCTGACGACGGTAACGTCAAAGCCTCCCTCTGTTCCACATCCCTGTTGGTCTCACATCCTCCTCCCGAAACGGACTTCCTGCATGTGGAGGTGGCAGGCACTCAGCTCTGCTCCACAATCGCCCGGCCATAAAGCTTTTGGAGGGCCAACAATTATTCTAAGAGGAGAAATTGAGCTCCTAATCCTTAGAAAGTGTTTCTTTTAGTGGCGAAGCCAAACAACGACGTCCAACTTTTCTTGTTTCCTCTGCGCCGAATTAAAGACGGCAGGCTTTCGTTTTCTCTGACAGTTTCACCACAGGAGCTTCAAGATGAACTCGTAAATTCACTCCTGATCAACTCTGCAGCACCATGAGGTACAGCTTCCTGAGTTTTAAACAGCAAACGTAATTCTTTATTAAAGCATCTTTTGCATTTAAAGTCAAGATTAACCTTTCGTTCAAGAAAAGGCTACAGAGGCACATTGGCTTTGGTGTCGGAAATTTACTGCGAGCTTTGGAAACCAAACACAACGCCTCGTAGCTAAAGAGGACATCAGTGCCTCTGTGGTTAAACTCCGCTCCAGAGAGTATCAACTGCACTGCCAGACTTCTCCTCGGAGGGAAAATATGCTTTCCAAACGAAGTTTTTGCTTCCAAAGTATTTGTCATCTCCCAGAGAGTTTGCTCCTTTTCTCTCCGTCTCGATGGCTCTCGCGCAGGTGGAGGAACGATCCTTACTCATTGGAGAAAACATTAATTTTTATGAGCTCGTGAATTTCCCCATAACAAGAGGAAGAGCTGCTTTCCTTTTTTTTCCCACTCACCCTCTTTTATTGAGCTGTACTGTCCGACTCCTTCAGAGATGCTGCTTGGATCTTTAAGGGTGTTCTTGGGCTTCACCGCCTTCTTGCTGGAGGCTTTCACTGAGAAACAAAATCAGATTTGAACAAGATAGGAATTAAATATCGAACAGCAAATGACTTCAGCTGTCAGAAATGTAGATTCGGAGTTCAACGCTTTGGGGTGCTGACAAAGAGGAAAAATTTTATTCTGCATGAGGATTAAGAGCTGAGCCAAGAACATGGGCGTAATTTGTGGGGAGGTTAGGGGGTTATGACCCTCACAATACCCCCACCCCAATAAAATTACATTAGCTGCAACTCCCTTGTTGTCTTTAKGTRCATTTGACCTTATTTCAAAATTTACAATGTCTGTTTGAGCATGATTGYTGAAAATGACATGCAGGGTTTCAGCCTGTATGTATTTGAAGAGAGCCAGSAGAGTTGCAGGAAAAACATTTGTCAATTGTTTGTTTCCTTTATTTCTTAATATTTTGCTTTAAATGAGCTAGAATTTCTTATAGCTGTTTAAAGTGATGTAGTGCACACATATTTCGAGGCTTTTCAAAGTGTTTTATTGTCCTTAGGCTGCCAATTCACTCATTTTCAGAAACTGCAGCCCCTTAAAAGTAGGCCTAAACCTGAAGCCTTATTTTTATATCTAAACTTTTCATTAACTGTTACCGTGCTTATTGCAAGGAAAACTATGGAAATAAGCTAACGCTAAGTCACTGTCGTCATTACAATGTGAACATTGGACACTTTAGCAGATATTTCATTCATCGCAAACTTAACTTTACTGTTGTGTGTTAAAACATCAGCTAGAGAAACTTACCTTAACTGCAGAAAGTTGGAAGCTCAGTGAATCTGCAGCGGACAGAACAGGCTGCCTCTTTAATGTGACATGTTCCGACTGCGGAGCGGCAGGTGGTGTTTGATGCAGGGCCGAAACTAAGTTTTTCAGGGGCCTCAGATTACATTTAAAATTATATATTTTTGGTAAATAAATGTTTATTTTAAAAGTTGTAATGGGCTTTTGGGCTAACGAACAGTTAGTAATTACAAATATTTTAGAAACATAAAAGTAGGGGGGCTACTGGGGAGGGGGGAGACACAGCTGGGGGTCAAGGCTCTACAACACGGGGGAAGTTGCCCCCCCTTGCCCCCCTGTCGATCCGCCCTTGTTTTCAGTCCATTATTTGAACATTTTCTAAGAATTTTTGTAAGTTTTTTTTTGTTAATTAATTACATCTAACTCATAAATCCTTCAGCCATAAAAAAGCTTTCTAAATTCAAGAAATAAACCAACACTGAGGTGACATGTTATGGGGTTTTATGAAAGAATCAATTTCTTYACTGATTTTTGTTACTTTTTGGTAGCAGTCTGTAATAAAATCACAAATATTCCAATTCATTTATTTGACTCTATTAAAAAAATTACAAAAAAGGTTGCTGAGCACGAATTTTAGCACCAGAAAGGTAAGTCACAAAAAACTAATAGTTGAAAACCTGTCATACAGTAGATGATAAGCAGAAGGCAACGTTTCACAGGTTCTGTCAGGTCTTTGCTGAGTTTGTTTCTGTTTCTTGAAGATATGTCCTTCRGATGTTCATCTGATTGTTTCAGACCTGATACTTTTTTTTTCTGTCTCAACGTGACTAATTTCCTCCCAATCTAAAGCACAGTATGTTGCCAGGTAAGGRCTGAGTAGAAAATGGATGAAAAGGCAGCCAAACTCAAAATGAAGACTTTTATAAAGCCTAATGTTCAAAGGCACTGTAAAGCCTACAGTAAAGTCTGGCTTCTTCAAACAAAGTATAATGAAATTCAAACTGTTYGAATCATTTGCACAGTACTGTCAATCTTTCACTCATATCAGCTCTCTAATACATTTAAATAAGTGCTTTGATGCCTTCACATAGAAAATCTGCCCTCAGGTTCAGTGCTGAAAACTTCCTGCACACCAGGCCAGACTGGGCTAATGACTCACATTCCACAGACCGGAGACAGAAATGAAACGTGTGCTTTTTGTTCGACAGAGTCTCAGGTCATGACAAAACCCTCTCACACATCTGAAAGTCTTTATCCTGTTTCTCAACGTGAGGACGGTTCCTCTTCGACGCTCTGAGCTGCAGATGTGTTTCAGCTGAGGAAAAGTGCCAACATCTGCTCAACAAGACATTACTGTGAAAACAGATTCGTATCATGTTGAGGTGATCAGATTACAGTAGGAGTAGCTGTTAAAGTCAAATAAATGTTGAAATTCCTTTGATGTCAAGCACATTTAAAATGCAAAGAAAGTTTTTTTACAATTATAAACCATAAAAACACTCAGCTCAATTTGTGAATTGCTACATTTGTATACATTTTTCACCAAATACCCCCCCCCCTCCACACACACACCTATTCTTCCAGAACATATAAAATTAAACACTTGTCTAAATTCACTAAAAAAATCTTCCTTTGCTTCTTATTAGTTAGTTAGGTTATTTGTTAGGACAGTGCACATTAATTAACATTACCACAATACATGGCAGTGTAAATATGCAAGAGTTAGCACAGTAGCTAAATTTCATCCCTTGTCCTACAAGTAGGCTATCAGAATGCCTCACTATACAATTCAAATAACAAAACACAGCACGAAGAAAATAACTAACAGACAAAACAACAACAAAAAAAACTAAAAACAAAATTGAAAACGAGAAAGGAAAAAACACACTCAGCAATAGGCAATGGAAGAATTATGAATGGGTACATAACAGATTTTCTTTCAACCAATGCTTTAAGTTTCTTTTTAAAATTTGCAGTTTTCACTGTCTGATATATGTTGACAATTTATTATATTATTACATATTATAAACAAAATTGACTTTGCATCATGGCCTATCTGAAAGGCCTTTAAATTGGCCTCCCTTTAAGAACCTGCAACCATTTCTGATTCTCCCACTCCAGCACATCTTCACAACAACGTTTCGGGGGCAGGGCTGCTCTGTGGGGCGGGGGATCGGCTGCAGACTGCGCTCCAGGGAGGAGCTTTGTGTAAATGGGTGGGGCTTTGTACCATCAAGTGTTCAGGCAGCTCCACATGACTACCACAGGAGATTCAAGGATTTCTCAAACACGCATGAATGAGTCAAAGCAACACAATGGGTAATTTATATCATGTTATAAGGCTAAATTTTTTTTGCATAATGCTACCCCCACCCCCTTTAAGAAATGTACAGTATCTCATCCATTATTCATCAATGTTTGTCATTACAAAAGGTGGGCAATCATAACAGCCCTTTCGTGTGCATGTGTTGTGAACCAAACTTGTATAATTCGAATTTTAAATCTCTAAAAAAATTAAGACTTTTACATTAATATGAATCCTTTAGAATAAAGATATGAATGAGCTGAATAATGTGAGCAAGAAATTAAAAACTGAAGCAAATTTTGATTTTAAATTCCACAGAAAATTATGAATTTGATTGCCAAATGGTGTTTATTAAAAGAAAAACAAGTTCTGCTCATTTTGTGTTTTGCAGGAGCCAAGCTGAAATTAATACAGGATGATTTTTAGAGCTTCACTAAAAACAGACAATGGTAGAAATTATCTTTATACAAAACCGCAAAGTCAAGCAAAAATGTTTRAATTAGCATGACAAGTTGATAAAACTTTGAAAGTTGAGTTTGACTTGATTCAAATCCCCMCTAGCTCAGTCATGAACCAACATAGTATCAGTAAATAGTTTTAAAGTCTTTACAGTCATCATCCATGTCCTGACTGCGCCCTGCAGAGCGAAGCAGCCCAAAGTGAAAGTAAAGTCAAGAACTCTGATCTGAAAGCTTCTGCAGGTTTCTCCTCCTGTGGTCCCACCTGCAGCAGGAATCCCTGCTCAGACATGTGAAGTCAGATGCCTGGAGGATGAGGTCAATGTCCACAGAACTCACTCACCCACTACAAAAAATTAAAAAAAACAGGAACCCTCACACACCTCCTGCCATCCTCCAATCACGTGGCCATATTTTACACATWGAAACACATAAACCTGTCACTGAGATTCACATGGTGAGATCACGTTTTAAGAACAGTGCAGATCTCATGCAAACAGTCTTCTGCAAAGCAAAACTTTTTTTTTTGCAAAAACTTGACAGAAATATAAATCTGGTCTGTGCATGCAGGGAGGGGTGGGGGGAGAGACAATTTAAGAGGTCATTAGTTTGCAGAGTTGTTACATATTTTCCTAAGTAATTGGAAGCTGTTATAATTATAGAAAAATGTGTAATTAAAACTACAGTTACTTGTAAAGAAAAATAGCCACAAGTCTAATTTGCATGGCATTCTCTGTGAAAGTTGGCCGATTGTTACTTAGAATTCATTTCATTTTTTATTATTATTTCTATTTGTGAACAAAGTTGTCTTTTTCTAGCCTGGAGCTGATGCTGTGTAGGGTGGAATTTGCATTTTACTCATATTGCCAAAAAAAAAAACTATGGTCTAAGAGTGATTTAACATATGTAATAAATGTCTATTATTTAAGTATTTTAAAAGTAGTTTGCTAAAAGGTCAATGTTGAGTATGGCTATGAATTTATAACTGCTGGTTTGAAACAGTTAACAGCCACTGTCAGATGATATTCAGTAAAATGTTAGAAAAGTCAATGAAAAATTATTAATAGTGAGTTACATTACTTTTAGAAAGTAAACAGAATAGTAATGCATTTTAAGTGGAGCAATTTATAATTGTAGCTTTTCCAGCACTGTTAATTTGTGAGTTTAAATGCGTCRTTGATATTTTGTAACCCATTCAAAAAAGATGTAACGGATTACTCAAGCACTGATTCAGTCATYGGTTTTAAAATCAGATTAAGATYATTTTGACTTTTTTYCAAACAAAATGAATTGTTGCCRTTTTWTAATCAAATGTTTCTTCTCGTTTAACTTTTTWCTGTAACTTTTTTCTGTAACTTTCATTTTTACAACAGATTATAACTTTAAAATAAATAGTTATCACTAATCATTTACCCAAAGTTTTCAACAATCAAACTGCCTTATTGTTTTACCATAACAGTGAAATCGATTGATTCATTTTTCTAAACCAATTCACATTTTAAGCAATTCTAATCAATTAGTAATCGAATCGTCACATCTATTCCAATCAAGGTTTCTCATTTATTGTGGGTTTATGAGAAATTATGACGATTTTATGACCAAGTTCTAACTTTTATGTAATGTTTGCTGCATTGTTTGAAACAAACGCCTGTTTTTGAATTCATGCCATTTCTATATTTATTATTTGATCAGAACTTTGCTCAAGCTGTGTGCACAAGGTGTGACCTTTTTTTTTTTACCTGGCTTTGCAGGAGCTGAGGTTTTTTCAGTCTTCTTGTTGCTTTCTGGCTTCCCTTTGGGAGWTTTCTTGCTCTGCCTCGGGTGTTCATGCCTGTCAGGTGTTGAGGCAACGGGCTTCTCCCGAGCTTGAACCTGATGGTTCTGTTYCCTCGTCAGCATCTCCTGCATGTAGTAATCCTCGTGCTCGCCAGCGGAGCCAAGGCTGAGGTCTGCGAGCCCTGCGAGGAGCAGCAGAGCCAGGGGCGTCAGGAGGTTGATGCATTGCCTTATCATGGCCTGGAGAGGAGGGGAGGGGAGGATTATGTGCAGCTGAGAGTCCCGTCTCCAGATGAGCCTGCTGTTGCTGCTCCTGCTGCGTCCCATCCACTGCTCGTCTCCCTCTCCCCTTCCCACTCCAACGAGAAGAGGGTTCASAAAGTTCTCGGAGCACTCCAAGTAAGTAATAAAGGCAGAGGAGCCAGAGGGTCCATGAACGCCTCAGTCTGGGGAAAAATGTGGTGAGGGAGGGGAGGGGAGAAACACAATAAGGCAGTGGATGAAGGAGCAGACACAGAAACAGGTGATTCACTTTCTTCCCCCTTGATTTAAACCCACCTTTCAAGCTGACACATTGTTCTGTCATTTTATTGGTCTGTGGGGAAGAAAAACAGGGACAGAAACATGATCTGACACCTCCAGGATCTGTTTTCATCTTCATCCCCTCCCATTATGTCTTCCACGTGAGCTGCTTCAACAAGAGGAAGGTTTCTTTTTTTCCCAGCAGAGCAAACAACTGAAAAGAAGTGTTTTTTTATGCAGTGTRAAACGGCACAAAACCAGCAGGAGTAAAAACAAAAAATACTTCAGTTTCACTTGTTGCTTTTCTGCTTATAGGGTGCTGTTTGTAAAGCAACTTGTGCATAAAAATACCAGCTAAATTTAGTCACATTTAGCTTCAAACATACATTTAACATTTAACATTTACATTTAACATTTAACATTTACATTTAACA